GCTGAGTTAACGCCTCTTTGAACAGTATTGTGTCAACTCAATGTAGGAGGAATGCCCGCAGTGATGTCTGTATTTGAGGTTTATCACTTAGTTAAACCCAGGATCTGTTTTAGGCTGTGTAAGATAAAACCATGGATATAACGAAAACTGGACCAATGTGCTATCAGTGCCCGTATATACTCGGATTGAATGATGTCGTGTGGTTTTCAGCTGTTTTTTTGGTGCTAATTCCACTGCGGGAAAGTCATAAAACGGCATTTCCAATGCTTAATCTTGTATTGTCCCCAATATTCTAGCACTTCCAACCTTTCGTTTCAAGAGGGATTGCTTTGACGTCGACTTCAACTTTCATATGGCCCATTGTGTCCTGGTAATTTCCAAATCTTTAGTCTCAATCGAGTACGTTCTTCATGTGGTATTTTCAAAGATCATCGTTTGACTCTTCTTCAAAAGTTGTTTCTTCAAGATAACAACATTCACTTTAGGAACGGAGCGGTGAGGTAGCCTAGTGGTTAAACCGAACACCCGGGTTCGATTCCCAACATGGGTACAATGTGCGATGCCCATTTCTGGTGTCCCCCGCCGTGATATTGCAGGAATATTGCTAAAAGCGGCGTAAAACTAAAATCACTCACTCACTTTCGGAACAATATTTCAAGGTTTCATGGAGACGTGGAGTAATGTTCCAGATCTGACGCATCAGTGACAATAACCATATCCCATACAATACCATGTCTTGATTTTACATTCCCGTGTAGTTTCTGTTCGAATGGCTTGCTTTTTGAATGTGTTTGTGTATGATTCTATTCACCTTGGTTTGTAACAAGCGAATGTTCAATTCCAAGCACACATCCCCACTCCTACACCAAGGCCCCACCCCATCACACTACCGCCAACGTGTTCGTGAAGAACCGAAGTCCTAGTTTCGGCGATTGACATAAACTAGAATATTTATTATATTGCGCTGCAAGCACCGTCCATATTTAATGCACGATCGAACATCTATAAGTAACTGACCCGTAATTTCGTCCATGCGCATGTCCCAGACTGTATTTCAATTGTTTAACTCCACGGTCAAATCAGGTAAAGCAGTGCCTGAAAACATGGGAATTGATGCACTGCGTCGAGACAAAGTCCCACCGCATGATAGTCGCTTGACCACGAGGGCGATAGTTGGTTTCACCAAAGTCAACATTGACGCTATTTTGGTTCGATAATTATAATGATATTGCATTCATCAATATATCTTATCGGATTTGTATTAGCATTTGTGCACCTTGGCGACCAAGCGAATATATAGATATATTCCGAGACACGTGAAATCACCAATTCAGGAATCTAAACAGCGTTTAAAAAGTGGAGATATGAAAAGAGTTTACAAAAGGAGAGATATTATTTCTAATTATTTTGCACGGCCATTGTTTTGAGACAGTTATCTTTAAATTTTCCATTTCTGTTCCAATTATATCTACAAGCTAAGCCATGGAATATTTACATTGACGTCACTCGTCGCCATCAAAGGATGGTATTTTCATTAGATACATCTGAATTATTCATTGTGGAGTCTATAATTACATCGAATGACGTTTGTACATTCTTATTTTTTATCACCAAAGTTATTGGTATTTACAAAGAACACTTATTTGTTAAGATGGAGAACAATTTAAGCCATGCAATTTAAAGCCACCTCTCGAAAACGGTTTTTATTGTACGTTTGCATGTGGGAGGCTTATGTGGTATACATTGTATTATGTGAATAAACAATTCGTTGCTAGGAAGAATAGTGGCCCCCAACATGCGTAACGTCAAAGGATGTCGAGGTATAATGAAGCGCATTACATACTCATCAGATACATCAACAAAAATGCTATTTATTTTATGTATTTTAACTATATGTTGTACTGGGTGAGACTTGAATAAATAATCTCTCTCTACATGTGGGAAACTGAGAGCGTATTCTGACGCTGTATCCTCATGTCATCACTTCAATGTATCAGAGATTGGCTGGCTTGCTTGTTTGACGCCGCACTCAGCAATATTCAAGCTATATAAATAATCAAGTCTGGACCAGACAATCCAGTGATCAACAGCATGAATATTGATCCACGCAATTGGGAACCGATGACATGTGTCAACCAAGTCAGCAAGCATGACCACCCGGTCTTGTTCGTCACCTCTTACGACAAGCATGGGTTGCTGAAGACCAATTCTAGCCCATATCTTCACGGATCTGAAGCATGTGAATGCCATTAACAGATGCACTCCGCGTTGCACTGAACTGTGGGTATTACTTGAGGAGTAGGTACATAGTCTGACGATCAAGTAGTGATGATACCAGATATTTAAGAAAAGCTGGAACAAATCATTTCAGAGGCAAGCCAGTTAATCATCCTGAAAAAGCCCGGAACAACCAAGCCACATTTTGGACTGCATCAGGCATCGTTTTTGTCACTGATTCGTCTGGGAGCCAAATTTGGTAGCCAAAACCTTTTTAAAACCTTTAATGAGAGACCCTGATCAAACACCTTCTAAACAAGTCGCATAACGCTCTTTGAAAATAGTGTGGATAGAGCATGATTAAAAGTTACGACATATTACGCCGCCAAAGGCTGGAACTGTAGCAATATAGCTCGGAATATAGATAAAGGACAATTGGAAAGTTGAAGTCATCTTTTTTGTCATACAGCCTTGTTTACTCTCCCCGCCTTCTTTGTGCTGATTTCAAGACACATGCATCATATTTTACGAATGCTTCTGACGTTCCACGACGAGAGATATTCTTATGGAAAATATGCCTCTGGACTTTTCTATAGAATGCAAGCACTGAACCTTTTAAGATGAATCGCATGTACCCGACGTGTCTAAGCAATTATAAAAATGTCTAAATGTTCAAACATGACAGACGTAAGCGTATGATCATGATACCACAGTGATTGATTTTGCATGGACAGTTACAGTTTATGCAGTGTTCCTCGTTAAGCTGGGCGGAGAAGTACCCTGTCCAAACTACATGGTTGTAGTACCAAATTTTGATAATTATCCCCTGAACACAAAGTCAGTTTTCATGGGCTACAATGCTAGGAAACCACGTGCACATCTCGATCCCATAAAGCATGTTGGGGAAATCTTTTCGTTCGTTGCAATTAGATTTGCCATTATTTTGAGAGGAACAATTCATCCAGAAAATGCCCGACGTTGGGAAATTTTGTATGTCCACGTGTATATCCTACCAGTATATGAAATTTTAAAAGTATAATTGTATTAACATAGGCAAGCCAAGAACCGATCAAACTTTGTCAGTACAATATGTTTTTCTTTATTCAACATCCCATATTAACTTTCAAGTATTTGTCAGTCGTGTTGAGCTTGTAATCAATAACTGTATTCATATTGACATGCACTTAACAAACTTGTAGGCTGTAAGATGATATTATAAATGATATTATTCAAATCGTATCAAAATACAGATTTGATATGAAGATACATCTGTAATCCTGAAGACTATGTTTCACATGACTGCAGATGGGATTTGTACTCTTTAATTACTGTGTGTGAGCCTGTAGACATGATCTCATTAATTTTAACAATTGCTATGATTCCTGTCATCAGTGCAAACATTTCCCTGAGCAGAATATGCGATGTAAATCACTTGTAATAACAACCATTTCTTCAAAGGCATGCCGCTTCGTTGAGAATACCAGTGCCTTCATAAGTCAATCTGGCGAAAGTAAACCGGATACAGTGTGGTTTTCATTTGGCTTTTTCTGCGTTCTCGGGTAATTATATAATCAACGTTAGGTTTGTAAATGTAACTTTGATCATCGATGTGTAGGATGGCGAGGCACGATCAAGTACATGACAGATGATTCCTTGATATGTTTCCGGTTCATCTGCCCATTTTGTGTTGCAATTATTAGTTTCAATGACAAGTTCATACTTTCGAAAATAGGACCGTTAAGCTTATGGTGTCCGAACACTGTTCTGTGTCTTCCATTTCGCGTCCGACACCCCTACCTCACTACGTCCATGAATTTGTATTGCAAAGTGAAATCATATCAACTTTCCTTGTCTCAATGTTTCAGACTGCTGTGGAAATGTATGGCCTGACGATGAACCCTGTATACCGAAAACAACACTTGTCAGCTTGATCATTCTACAAATACTTATTTATACGTATTTATTCAACAAATGTTTCGACCTGATGTACATGACATACATTTATTCATAGACACTTACCAAGCGATCTTACAATTTCAACAACATAAGTTACCCATTTGGTGAAAAGTCTGTTTACATATCCGCCCAAACTCTTGCTGGATAGATAGATAGATAGATAGATAGATAGATAGATAGATAGATAGATAGATAGATAGATAGACCAACATATACAATAGTTCGACAGTAGCATAACAGTGACTTGAATATATGTTTGAGCCTTTGAATTCTCAAATGGCAGTCCTTCTATTCAGCCTGTTTCAATAGCATGAACTCGTCAGGGTTGGGGACTGAGGTTAAGGCTGCTTTGAACAATATTTCAGTTAATAGTCTATAGCCTACCAGTATAAATCTGAGGGTATTACAATGACAAATCAGCAATCAAAACCTGAAAGAAAAGGTGATTCAAAGACAGAGTCAAAGGTTACTGTGACATCCAAGCGATGCTGCTCTGCACAGCTACTTTCGGCACCTTAAACTACTAGGACCCTCGTAGGCGGATCCCGGGGGGTTGGGGTGCGCACCCCCTTGTGCTGAAAGTTTGTTAAATGACCATTGAAACTCGGGTGAAAATCAAGTGTGCACCCCTCCTTTTCTCGATAGTGTGCACCCCCAACCCCCCACCCCCTTTCTCAAAAAGCTGTATCCGCCCCTGACACTTAATAGAGGTGATGATGCCGGAATTCGCTGTTAAGAGGTTAATAATCTGTGATATGATTATTCCCTGTTCATATTTAAGAGATCCAGGTTTCAATGTGACGTTCAGTAACTCACTCACTCACAGACTAGAAGTGGTGACTAGTAATCCATCTGTTTTTATACAAGGTTGTATTAAAATCCAGCTTGCCTTTCTTCTCCATGTCTACCTTCTTGTGGTACCACTCCTCCAGACAGTCGTACGCCAGAGGGTGATGATCGTAGAAGAATTTGTTGACGAACAGCTCCGGTGCCTTGACAAGATTTTGCACGTCTCGAACCTCCATTATGCATATATTCCTGGCAATCCTTCCAGAACACGTGTGTTGTGGGAACCACAGTTTGTAACGTCCAAGAAACATCCGCTTGCCATCATCCACGTCACCTGGGAGGTAAACAGTATCAAAACATTAAAGAACTCCTCTATGTTTCTCTGCCATTTGCGTCTTTTAACAACCCATGCCTCTAAGGTGGCAATCTTCTACGAACATCATGTCATACTAATTAATGTCTCCTGCTTGTCATTGAACAGCCAGTTGTCATACTGAGAGTACGATAGTGGTCACAAAACAATTTATTTGGCAACAATATTATTACGCCGCGATCAGGTATTAATTCAAGTAAGGCGAGGGCAGTCTGTATGTAATCGAAATCGTTTGGGTACGATAATAGCAATCAAGTAAAATCGGCCGTTATAATCAGCATAGGTTGCTTTGGGCATTCCAGAATCCTTCATGTGCTGCTTGGGTGATTTTTAAACTTTCCGTAGAATCGGTGAGCATGGTTGAAGACGCTTTAAGCAATATTCCAGTAATACCGCTCTCTGGAAGCGCAGAATTGGGCATAAGTATATTGTATCTTTGTGGAGGGTTGAACCCTGGCAACGACTGAATGCTTCATCTCCACTCTTTGAGAACCCCATGCCACCCTCACCTCCATAGATGCGTGAGTAAATGATGTTTTACGCCGTAGAAGATGTATACCAATTTCAGCGCAATGTGAACATAATCGAGTCAGAATATGTTCGTTGGCAAACATTGTTTCTCCTGATCAAGAATGTTGATAAAGCATTGTACAAGATCTTTGAAATTCATCCCAGCCAAAGAAGGATCATAGGTTGCTATATGCCCTAAGCAACCTTGCTGATTGTGACCGGGTGATTTGACTTGACTGCTGTCATCGTACACAGACAATAGGAATCTTTCAAGCACTGGATTATCTGGCCCAGATTATATTTTTCACAGACCGTCATCGCGTAACTTGAACATGGCAGATCGCGGCGTAACAACCAAACAAAACAATATGCATCCTACCTGTATAGGATCCAGGCACCTCCAGGTGAGGATTGAAGTTGAGCATAGAAAAGAAAGCCTCATCTGGAACGTGGACCTTCTTCACCCACTGTAACAACGACATGGCAACGTCGTTGTGTAAAACGTAGTCGACGTAACCGCGGGATGCAACTATATGAACCGCTCCTTTCCTTGGCTTCAAACCAGCCGGCGGTACACCTGCACCCGCCCACCGATCCACATCGGCCCTACAGAACACACAATGGTTTTCAGTGTCAGTGTACGTGGTCGTTTGGGTTGAAGCTGCTTTGAACAGATTGTCAGGTAATATGTAACCTGTAAGGTGAATGCGAGTGAGTTAAATTTAAACACGCTTTTAGCAATATTCCCAAATTTCCCACAATATCATGGCAGGGGACGCCAGAAATGGGCTTCACACATTATACCCAAGTGATGAATCGAGCCCGGGTCTTCGGCGAGACAAGAACGCCTTGACCAAAAGGCTACCCCACCCCCAAAATATCAGTCTCTAGATTTCTTGATTTTTACTGGCAATCGTCAAATACTTGAAATACGGCAGAATACGACGTTAAACAACTAACACACATGTTTAGTATGCATTCAGCCTGCTAATTCCGATTTTATGAGCGCTTCTTCGTATTTTCATATTCATGGACGTCGCCTTTTTGGCTGTTCATATTTTTGCGTGCTCGTGCGCTGATACGCAATACCGCAGTTAAACATGTGTGCCATACTCAGACCCTGTATACTGACTTGAGACCAGTTAGTTCTTGTCTTATCCCAGTCATGGTAACTACGACTACGTCTTTTTGTATCGGGTACCCAGGCATCGCACCCACAGACCTTTCACTACCCGGGGCGGGTACACTACCTTCTGGACGATCTGTGTTCGCACTCTCGTTACAGTACTTAGGGGTGTAATATTTTAAAGCTGAAGCTGTATACTGCTAGCTTACTGTATATCCTCTAGAAGTAACAATCCTCATGTCTCGGGCTTGATTGATAATAATATTAGTTTAACATGTATATATTAAGAACCGAAAAATCGTACATGTTGACCAAGCGGGGAATAACAATGAATAGCTGATAAGAGCTCACACGTACGACAGTTAGGATTTCTTTTGTTTACAATTTACAATCCAGTTATTTCAAAATATGGTTATACTTTAAAATTAATGTTGGGATCGCCAGCGTACCCAGACCAAATGCGAATGTGAGCACATGTGAAGCACATGTGATGCATGTGATCTTATCTTAGGCAAATGAGTTTGTTCATTCACCCAGCAGAAAATGGGTACGCGGTTGGATAAAATCATGTGACTATAACCTTCTAGCGCCTAACAGACAGCTTGGGTTAATCCGGGGTAATAAGAATCGGATTCTGATTAAGCGCCGCGAGCAATCACTTGGTGTTTGGAGACTGTGCGCTATAGAAGATGACTTCTTATTATTATAATGTGAGGTCAGAATAACGTCATTACGTCAATGCAATCCAACCAGCCGGCCTGTATATACTGAAATTTACGAAAAGGTCAGTGAATAGTCAGATGGCATACCGTAATGATACGGTAGTGTCTGCATATTAACCACTGTGGATTATTTAATGTACAAGAAAACTCGGTAGTGATGCGAGGCCCACCACTACGCCAGTCTCAATATTGTTTGGGGGAAGACATTAACCTATTAAGATATGCAGATAACCTATGCAGATATATTGTTTGGTTTGAAACCCAGAACGAAAACCTGTTGCAACTGAGAGAACCTACGTGATGTCTTAATATGCAAAACCGGCTGATATACTGATATGCTGTCTCCTTCCGCATAAGCTGACCTCAAACCGATTATGAATTAAATGCAGTCATTTCAAAACGTCTGATAAAAAAGGCAGGGTTTCAAAGCGTCCTAAACATACTTATAATGTCACGATTGCATGTTCTGGGTTGAAACCATAAAAACGTGACAACGCATGTCACCTACCCCCCATTTAAAAAAGCAATGACAAACGGACTGTTACATATTTGTATATCTACTTACTCTTTGAATGTTCCCTGTATATCATTAGCACCACGGTAAGCTCTCAGAATCTGAACAAGTTCATAGTTGGTTTTCAGTGGAAATTCCTGCCCAGTCAAATTAATGAAATATCTCCATTTTTTATTCTGCTTCCATAACAGGTCCATGCAGAGCAGATCTGGCTCCAGTACTGTGAACGTCCCCCACTGCACATCAACCTGCACTGGATAAACAAATACGTTGTCAAAGCATTTGGCTATAGATACAACCGCCTCCACGAACTCTTGTCTTGACTTGGCGTCAGTGGATATACAATACACGTTATTCGGTCGCCATAACATGCGTAGTAATCGCTCCACCTGTTCAACATGTTTGTACACGATTATGCTAAATGCTATAGGGAAATCCTCTTCGTCCTTTGTCATAGTTTGATTGATGTAACCTGCTTCATGTCTATATTCATGACAGACACGTGTCTTCAAAGGAAACATTTCATCCATAAGTGTTGATTTCAGAGATACTGACATTAAGTATTCGGCTTTTATAAGTTCATTTGTGTCACCTGATGTTATTTTGTTGCAAGAAACGTCTTGTCCTGGTGACGGGTAACGTCGATGTGTTGTCTTCGAACAGTTGGACAGATGCGGCCATGTCTCCATTTGCGATGGGGACTTATGAGTGAATATTTCTTCCTGGGGAGATTTGTCGGGTATGTTATCTAGCACAAAAAACACCGGTACTGTGAAGAAGATTATCGACAGTATGGCAGTCTGTGTCATTAGAAGCTGCTTTCGCCGGGTGAAAATCCTGGCCATTTCTGAAAAAGAGGCATATTGGAAACATTAATTATATTTATGTTTCATAAATGTGATACCCTTAGGCCTCACGGAACAAAAAAGGTGCCCAGCAACGAGCTTTAGGTAGCGATGTGGTTAAAATGAATAAATTGGCTGATTATCTGCAGTCCTCCGTGAACTGTTTATATACACATATATCCCCCCACCAGGTAGACTGTTCAACCACTATAATACACACACACACACACACACACACACACACACGCACGACAAAAGTCTGAAGATCCTTAGTACAGATATCATTTCTTCAATTCTAACCGATTTCACACTGTCTATGTATAATATGTATATATAGAGAGCGAGAGGGAGAGCTAGTAATAAAGAACCATTTGACTGGAACCGATTTTGTATTGGACGGGTAGTCAAACTGGGAGTAGTCATGATGGCGGGTGACTTCTTATAAGGAACCATATGGCGGGTGACTTCTTATAAGGATCACTGGCTTGTCTGGTCCAGGCGTTCCTATTTACAAGCTGACGTCATATAGCGGGACTATTGCTGAGTGCAGGGTCACAAAGACTAATAGCCTCTGGAATGAATACATTTTACATAACAAACACACATATAAACTATTCTATATGAGAAATATGCTAGAAGATGAGTAAAACCCGCACACTTGTTCAATAACTCCCTCACTCTGGTGTTTTCATGTATTACCCACATGTCAAAGAACGCTTGTCATCTGTAGTTTGGTACGATGGAAACAATATCTGAACCTACCTATTTCCCGGATCAGATAAACAGTGTTGATATTGTCGGAAAGAAAATATGTGCCAATCGCAAATACTGCGCATTACCGGGAATTCGATCTGTATTTCGCTTGCAGTACATTGTAGAACCAACAAAATGTACATGGTTGTGGTCGCAGTTAATCGATACTTAACGACGAAATGTTTACACATTCATGCACCTGATCACACTCAAGGGGCGCATCATATGGTAAACTTTGAACAGTTACAGGTGCATCTCATAACGTCACGCTCAATCGATGCAAACAATTAACCATAACATAATGTCCAAAGTACGGACGGTAAACCTGGAGAGGCTGGTGGGCCTAGTGGTTCAAACGTTAGCTCATAAAGAAACCAGAGTTTAATTCAGTTAAACCCATCCTTCATTTCGTATGCAACGCCAGCGAATGTGTTAGTGCTTCGGGTGCTTCGTTTCGAGGGTAGTAAACCCAAGTACAAAACATTGCACTTTTGATTTGCGAATGTAGGCTTGTAATTTTGTTCATTTGTCTTTTCATAATCAGCCATGTATATTATATGTCATGAAAAAATGATAATTATCTTTTAATTATGTTTATTTTTGTTGGTTGCATCTAAGCAATGTCAACGTATTATCATTTCACCTACGATCCGTGGTTATCCTTTTTCGAACTTGTCTTCAGCGACCTGTGCTTATCGTCAGAGGCGACTGATAATATTGAGTGCAGGTGGTGAGATGCTTTCCGAATTGTTTAGACTGAGGCTCATGTATTGACACTGTATTGTCTTGTGTACTCTCGGTTATTCAAAGACACGTGAAGATCCGGGTCAGAATGTATCTTCAGTAACCCATGCTTGTCGTAAGAGACGACTAACGGGATCAGGTGGTCAGGCTCGCTGACTTGGTTGACATATGTCATCGGATTCCAATTGCGAATATCGATGTTCATGTTGTTGATCCCTGGAATGTCTGGTTCAGACTCATGTATTTACAGACCGCCGCCATGTAGCCGGAATATTGCTGAGTCTAGCGTAAAACTAAACTCACTCACTCATGATTATTGCAAAAATCGCCATCTATTGGCTATACAAGTGTCGAGTGCGGCAGCAAGCAACAGAGACACAAACCACACAAGAGCCTTGGGTAAGTGAATAACATTGTATATACAAACTATAACCGTGGTGTGACTTAATTAAGGCCATAGAAGAAAACCTATGTTTCACAAGAAGTAAAGTAAACAGTGCTGGCAACATATGGACCTAAGGGAAGCAGTTAAGAAGTGCTTCTCATTCCTCGAGTCTCAATACTCGACGCGGGTTCGATGGAGCTATGTGTACAACCCAATCCTTCCATTTGTGGTTGTATAGCTCAACTGAGTGCGGCGTAAATAACAAACAACATTATTTCCCCATGATACAGGTCTCAGCTTACATGTTATACAACACGCACAGATATATTATGTGATTAAAGTCTTTCTAAGTCTTATACTTACCAACAATGCCTATGGGATATACCTCGCTCCATCTGATGTGTTTTGCTATTGCAAGTGTTTATTTATTTAAGAATACTGGAGTCAGCCACCGATAGATCAGCTTATAAACAGGCTTGTTGGCGTTTTGTATGCGTACGAAAATATTTCTATTTATGTTATAGAAAAGTTGTTACTGTAGATCGTCCGGTTCTGTTATACGAGTCATTGACAACTGAACAAGCGTTGAGTCAGGTCTTACTACACCAATTTCTGTCAATAGTACAGTTGTTTAATGGTTGATACGGTTCGTGTAACCATATGTCTTCACAGCAAATTCAACAGCAAAAAAGGCAACTGGCGCAAACATTTATTTATCTTTCAAACAACATTTATAGAACATATTATGTTGAATATGATGCTCTTTCAGATTCTGGTTTTAAAGAGAAATGTTACACATGTATTATGTAGCATGATATGTACAGAAACGTAAATACACCCGTTAAATTTAGTACAGACTTGACAAATGGATTTGCCAAAAAAATGACAACACGATCGAAATACTACTAGACACTAAGCGAGATACTGCAAACGTATGATCCGAAACGTTACGATGATACCTGTTTCCTTCCTCTTCAGCAATCAATATACATCGGTGTATACTTTCGAAACATGTGTAAAACTTTTATTGATATATTTTGGATTGCAAGTATGGAAAGACATTTCAGCGACGATATGTGGTGCGCCATATTTGATATAAAACAAAAAATCTTTCTTGAGTTATATATACCTGTTCAGATATCAATGAATTAAACACATTATGCAACAGCATGGCCAAGGAGATCTGTATATGTATAAAATTGGTCCCATAATATGTTTGATCCTTTATTACATATGTAGATATATCATGGAAAATGGAAACGTTGTGTCAGTAAAATCTGTAAAAGAGTCGAGGGCTATAACGAGTCATATTGATACATTTGGAATCATAAGTTGTTCCTACACCAAAATCGCGGTAAAACAGCTACATATTGGCAAAACAGGGTGCAAAATGTACAGATTCCTCATATTTGGGTTAGACAGAATGAAATATAGTTTCAATATTCACCAAAGTTTAATAAAGTTAATATCATAGCTTCTCAATATAATTCGGTAATGATTCAAAATGTATTTGAAAACAACTTTATCATGGCATATCAAAATAACCTAATTAAAAAATATCTACATACAATCGAAGCAAAAATCAGGAAGACATTGCACATAGTAAGACCAGTTCCTGAGCTGTAACCGATTAATCAGATGAAAACGTGACACATCAGGTGACATGAAGACATGATACATTAAACATAATTTAATAGCATATTGATGATACAAGCATCATATCATAATTCCCCATGTGGTCCGGCCAGTATGGATGATGCTGTCCAAAGTCGTCTATGTCGAAATCACTATATTTGAAGACTGTCTAGTACTGAATTGCCGGGGAGTCATGGACTGAGAAGGGTCCTTCTTTGTTTTGTAATATATCGGGGTATTCTCCATAACCTCTTGTATCCAACGGTTTTAGGTCCACACTCACTAAACTGGTGACTGTACTGTTGAGGTCATTGTCCGAATAGAAACTTGACTCATCGTCAGACGGTTCAGAAGGTAAAAGGTCTTCCTTTGTCCCTCTGAAAATATAGGTTGATTGTTATAATATTATACACACCGTGCAATAGCATGCTATCATACGGACCAGACTGACCTTTGCAGATGCCTTAACATATAGATGATGTTCTTTGTGACGTTTTATCCTGTAAATAACAGAGATTTTATACTGACCAGTGATTTCTTAGTTTTCCGGGTTTCTTTTGTTTCAGACTATTTCAGTTATGTATAAACAAAAATATACTTCTCTTCAAAAGTTTAGACTCACTTGTGTAAATATAGCCACTTAATTCAGGCAACTGTTCTAAACTAAATTTTGCAACATATGCCATACTGTTCAAAGGTACTGTTTACACATGAAATGATGTATTGTAATAATAATTCGTAACGTTGAAAACATTCGTGGGTTCTTTTAAGTGCACAGGGTTGTGACTGTACATTAGGGGTTGTGACAACACTGAAACAGTCTGCACACAAAGTTGACTCCAAGGTTTTTACACCCGGTCACAGGTGTGCTCGATCCCGTCTCCTCAAGCTCGCTGGATCACTAGCCTGGCACTTTAGCCAGTTCGCCCCCCAAAAGATTATTGTCATGAGTTCAGTAAATGATGAAAATTGGCGAATTCTGAACAAAATTTTACACCACAACGCAGTTGTTCACATGCACGATATTTGCACATGCTTTTCACCAATTTGTTGCATGATCCTCGTGCAGTTCAGCTGCATAAGGTTTGCAGAT